GGAGCGCTCACGATCACAGGTCTATCTATTGGGGTGGCTTATCCAACAAGATCTCCCAAACTGTGCAGGCCGGGTGCTGAGTGGGGCGTGTGCTGATGGCGCGGATAACGAGCTCTGAGCGAGGGAAGGAACAGGGGCTTCGGTTTGCTCTGACCCCACGAGGTGGTTGGAGATTGGTTCCTATCCAGGGCAGGGTCAAAGGGCATCGGGGATTTTTATAAAGTTTTTCGTTAAAGAGTTTTTCGAGACTTGCATCACAAATAGGTGAAATAAATGCCAAGAATAGGGGTATTCTATTTTTAGATTTGGTAAGAATGTCGTGGCACTTGAAACACCGATATGCCAGATAAATACCGAAGATCAGAGGCACTGTACTTTTTTTGTTTTGGTAAGAGCGTTAAGGTACTTTCAAAACAAATTGGTTCAATAAATGCCAAAGGTTAGAAGTATTATAAGAAAGAAACATACAAAGAAAAGGAGGAGGAGAAAAAGGGGAGAAGGTATCATTTGTTCGGGGATGTTAGAGTATATGAAACAGAACACATTGGGAGCTGGGTGATCTTCTTTTGTTTGTTTGAGTAAAGAGAAACACATCGACACAATAAAGGTCATTTAGTGCAGGGGAAAAGTAAGACACACAGACAGACAGACAGACAGACAGACAGACAGACACACAGACAGACAGACAGACAGACAGACAGACAGACAGACAGACAGACAGACAGACACAAACAACAGAGGGAAAACAAAGAAGTAGGACACACCAGTGGCACCCTCCAACCACCCGCTAGGGTGATCTGCGAAAACACTCCCCCTCCCCTCCTTCCCCTCCCCCCTCACCCGGAAAAAAGCAGTGAAGTGGATATGTCTGATTAAATAGCACATTAATGAAACTTCCATGGTTCTAATTAGTTTGATTTTTCTTCCAACAATTAATCAATCAACTGCGACCAGAAGCCGCATTGACAAGTCTTTGTGTGTTTGTGTGCATTCCGGGTGTAGATGTATTGGAAAGAAATGTCGTTCGTTGAATGGGCCAGTGTGCAGAGAACGTTGATGGAAATCTTTTGTTGTATTGTGAAGTGCCAGAACCGCTTGGGAGTGGGAGCTTCAGAAGTGATGTTTATTATCACTATTATTATTATTAATATTATTATTTTTAATGATATTATTGTTGTTGTTATTATTATTACTATTATTATTATTATTATTAT